TCTTGTTTTTTCTAGGTACAATAGTAGACATGCAAAGATATGATATATGGTCGACAACACTATACTATTATCACTTACTGGTATTGATGCCGATGTTGCCGTTGTTTCCTTCTGATCTACAGTTGTTGTCGAAGCAGTGACATTCTGCGATTGTTTCACCTTTTGCTTTTTTTTAGCACGTTTTGGTGCTTGAAGTCTTTTGTCAACCTCTTCTTTAGTCATACCACGTTTATATCGTCTTCGACGAAAACGTCTTCGTTGTTTATGTCCATGGCATTTTTTTCTTCGTCTTTGTCGACTTGTTTGTATGGCTGGATTGGTTACCGAACGTGATTCTAAAGGTGGATCACTGGAAGCAATGTCGGTCGTATTATTCGCATTCGTATTCATGATTGAGAGCAAAAAAACAATAAATATTAAAATCTAAAATGAACACATAGCATGAGAACGGTATGATCTTTGACACAATGATAATAATGAAAAAGAAAAACAAAAAAAAACTCAAATAGAGTTAAGAAGAACTAAGACAAATGAAATATGAATAATTCGATGGCTATGGTTGAATCGATAAAATTTGAACTTTGAAATCATGAATACATTTGAGTCGTTTTCCAATAATTTGAGCGCGTTGTTCAATTAATTCAATCATCTTTGTCGTTAATTTTTCTGTATCTGGAAGCGAACGTTGTTCATGTTGTATTTCTTTCATTTTATCATTGTATTGATTTTGATAACGTTGTTTTTGACTAGTAGCTGATTGAGTATAGAGAGTAAACATATTCGTTTGTGTTTGTTCGATCACTTGTCTATATTGAACACAGAACTGTTTTTGAACGTCTATATTACGAATTGAATCAAATAAAGGTACACGAGCTATAGGCAGATGATCGAAAGTTGACAAAGATTTATGATGAATAATTTGTTTTTCAAGTAGTTCCGATGTATATTTGCTGATTTCTTCTTGTTGCTTCGCCGCACAGAGTTGTTCCGCTAATTTTATCTAATTGGAGAAAAAAAAATTGGTAGATAGATCGATGAGAAATTTTCAATGACCTTACTTGAGTTTCACTTGGATTCAGTGTAAGATAGTCGAGTTTTAAGATATGTTCTTCATAATCATAATGTACTAGTTGTATTTTATGTTGAATTTTTTTGCGTAGACTAGTCAAATTTTCTTCCACAAATCTTTCAATTGCTTGTTGAATCAGGGTTGAATCATTAGGTAGATGATTCTTTTGAACATGAAGATCAGTATGAGCTTGTTGAATCGCTTTGTGTAATTGAGTTAGACCATTTTTCACATAAGTTAAACAAGCTTCATTTTCTTCGGTACCTGAACGAACAGTTACTTTCACCATTGATTGAACTGGTTTTACCCATAATTGTGGACCTAATCCATTGCAAGAATAGTGAGTCTTCAATTGACCCAAACCTGATTGTAAATAGACAGTCCAAAGAGAATATAAAATCTCTATGTACTTGATTCGATGAATCACAATAGCTATTTGTCGATATTTTTCTAAGTTGTCGGATGATGATGCTACCGCTGTTGTGGTATTGGTAGACCAGATTGAATTAATCCTTTTTTCAAATGATTTATTACTTTTGGTAAGATACTTTGGCGTTTCTCTTAATTGATCTGGTTTAACCTTTTTTGGTAGCTTCTTTTCCGACTCTATTTCTGATTCTTTTTGCTGAGAGGTTGACAGTTGATTCAATTTCTGTGATAGAACATGTTCTTCGGTCGACTGCAAAAAAGATAAAAGAAATTCACAAATGAAAAAGATGAAGCAACTAGATTCTACTTTGATTTTGTTGCCTGTTGAAGACTTTCTCAATGTATCTGTGGATATGACGTCTTCTATTTCCATGATTTCCGTATCGTTATAATCTTCGTCATCACTATCCGTATCTAATTCATTGTCGTCGACGACTCGTTCTCTAGCATAAATATTATCTAAATCATAATCTTGCTTGACAATGTTATTGTCGTCTTGATCGTCCTCATCACCAAAATTATCATCATGTAAACCAAGATCATTCAAAATATTCGTAGTACTAGCACAAAAATTGCCGTCCTACAAGACAAACAATAGAATGAGATCACTACGATTATTTCAATATTGAATGTTTCTTACTATTAGCGTATGAGTATTGTCATTTCCATTGATATTTGTTTTGAAATTACTTGATGATCTTGCCATGTGACTCACTCTACTAAAAACTGATGCAATCTAAAATTTGATAGATACTGGAAAAGTCATCAAATAACAATAAACAAAATATAACGAATGGAAATAATAATCTAGAAGTGATCTATGTGCAACTTTTATTGATATGAGTCACTTTTGAATGTATACATGTCTTCAGAATTGTTAATAAGAGGATAGTGGCGAAATATTGTCCATATAAGTGGCATCATTGTAATCATTTCTTTATCGTATTTCTCTTTTTAGGGTACTCAAAAAGTGAGTACACTACTAAAATCGGTCTCTATGTCCGTCCGTCCGGCCGTTTACACGATAACTTTCGAAAGGAGAGTCAGATTGCGATGAAATTCTCTACACAGCTTAGCCTTGACAATATCTCGGTCGAGCTCGAAGATGAGAAGGACCGGCCAAGCCGTTCCTGAGTTATTGCAAAAATACTCATTTTCCCTATAGCTTTCTGTGGAAAAATGGACCCATGGCGACTTTCGTAAAAGACTTTTCCTATCATAGTCAATTAAAACTCCAACTATTATATACCATTCGATAGAAAATTTCAAGTTCTAAAAAATGATATATAAAACATACAGAACCAAAAACGTTGACTAACCTATGACAAAGATAATTAAAGAGAACTAGGTTATATTTTGGTCCACGATCTCATTGATCCACAAATAGAGCTTTATCTTCCTGTCACAGTGATGACACTTCGAGGTTTTCAGAGATGGAGAACTCGAATGTGTACTGCACTTCCATCGAAATACTATTAGTTGTGCAGTGACCAATAGAAATGAAGTTATAGGAAAAGCGACTTTCTTAGGGTAAATCAAGGGAAAGAGTTCAAATTTGAGCTGTATTCGGTCCCATGTCCTATTGGTTTGCAAACGCGCAATAGAAATCAACATTTCAAATGGTAGATTTCACAGTATAATTTTGATATTCAGACAGTCTAGGATGATTGATTTGTATGATTCACTTTTTGAAGTACACATAACTCTCGGATTTAAATCCGAAGTTTCCGCATTTATTGTTGTCTACGAGTAAAGTTGGTGAATGAATGTTATGTTAATCTGAAAGAAAAAGAGAACAAATAGTAATTATATAGATTGTTGTACTAGACTAAATTGAACAAAGATTGATTTTTGGAAATACAGAGAATTTAATATTTGTTTTCAACAAGTAAAACTACAGTTAAATACAACAAAAATCAGAGAGGCTTTTTGACGCTTCCAAGTTGATGCATTCTATCTGTGTACTATCCTTTCGTTTTTCTTCGTTGTCATTGATAGATATTTTATTTTACTTATAATTGGATTCAGAGGCATAATTTTTTCAAAGAAAATAACATGAAATTTAATTTTGACGTTGTCTATATTGATGGTATGAATGTTTGCATTGGTATTGAAGAGTTTCTCGACAACGTTTGAGTTTCAATCTTTTTCTCTTTGATGATACTTGAAAACATGGTGGCGAAGATGATCATAAAGAGATTGATCATAGAATTTCTCACCACCATGAACGTTCATTTGTGATTCACCAAATTCTTTAAGAAATAATTGAATCTGATCAATAATAAAATCATTGGAGAATCGATTATATTGAAAAGACAATTGAATATCTACGAGTTCATTAACGAAATCAAACACATTTGCATAACAGCGTGTAGCACGTAGAAGAGCTGCTCGAAGTAAACTATGATATTTGTGTCGTGGATGACCAACGACATAAGGTAATGAATAAGGTTCTGTATTTAATTGATGAACTACTTTTATTTTGAGGTTGCCATCTAGATGACAAATGTTAACATCGAGGCAATTGATATCATTACTGATAGACATCGTGATTGGCATATTTAGTAGTTGTCGATTGATTGTGTGAAGTACATCATGAAGTCTTTGTTCAGAATCATTCCATGTAAAGAATATTTCATCGAAACATCTATATGTAGTCGTAATAGTACAATAACGAGAGAAAAAGGGAACACTTCAACAAAATGATATTCTTACCGTCCAAAGATTTCATTTTTAGTATGTAAAATGCGCACTAAATCTAGTTGCCAATAAAATATGTAGATGTTCGCTAATAGTCTTGTCAATGGTGAATTCGAAATACCTCCTTGAATTTGTTGATAGAGTCTATTTTCATATATGATACATTGATTGTCAAGAACGAGTTGTACAAGATCCATAATTGTTGTTACCGTTATACCTTCGATTTTTTTCTCTAACACATATTCTTCAAGAAAAAGTTTCAACGCATCTATAGTTTGGTCATGTGGAACGACAGTCGATAGATTATGAATGTGTAAAGTAGTAAATAGTGTGTTCGATTGAAGAAGACCTTTTCTAGTATACCTTTCTACAGCATCAATGACATCAGCACCTGTATTGAATGTTGTCGAAAAAGTAACATAATCATAAATAGGTTGAAGAAGACGATTAAGAAAATGAGATATGTTCATAGTTAAGTGATGATGACAGCGTACCATTGGATGAAAAGGAACATTAGCCTATTTTATATAAATGAAGAGAAACAAAGAAAATAGGTCAATCACACACACACACGCATCTGAACCTACTTGACGCGTATCAGGTAAAAAATAGAGAGTATTAAGTTGACTATTTGATCGATTGGTACTCATCTGTTTCCATTGTGCATAGGTGATCAATTTATTATGTAAAACACAATTCAACTTTTTCATTATATCATTATTCATCTTCTTCACAAATTCTTTCAAAGAATACGGATTTGTTTGATCTAGTTCCATTATCAAACGATAGGCACCTGTACGAGTCATATGTTCATGTACTTTCTGTTGCATTAAAGTCAATTCACATGAATAATAAGCATAGAGATTATAGGTAGGTAATAGAATACGATTGTTTGTTTGTAATTGTTGTCGAATAATGTTAAGGTATTTTTTTCGCGTAATTTGATACAACGGACGACGTTCATTTATTTCATCACCAGATAGATTGATGATTTTCTCATTATCATCATCGTCGTCATTGTCATCCATATTATCCATCCATGGGACGACGATATCAATAGCTTGATTAATTTGATCAACCATTGTGTAGTCAAGTAAATTCAGAGGGTCATAACAGAGAAATAGAATCTGAAACAAAACAAGAAAACAAAGAAAGAAACATCAAATCTATAATCTAGTGTTTATCCAATGAAATAAACAAGACAAAAAAAGACAAGGCAAAGAATCAATTTATTGTACAATTGTTTTTCGTTTTCTTTCTATAGCAAATCAAGCATATTGTTTAGTTGGCGTCACCTATAACAAATAGTTCATTCAGTCAATGAAGATGACTCGAAATCATCGATACATACAATCGTATTCATCACTTTCTTTGATTGATGAATTTAGAAGTTCACGGCATGGTCTTTGCTTCGCAAGATATTTTATCATTGACAAAGGAATAGTATTGATTGCATCTGGCTCTATTTCGATCACTTTTTCATTGAATTGTGGTTCAAATATAAAGCATTTTTTCAAAAGATCAAATAGTTGACACTTAAAATAATCCATCAGATTCGAATCTGCATTCATATCTGAGTAAGACAGAGATTGTATCATTTCTATTTCCTTAGACCATTTTGTTTTCACGATGACTAATTGTGCATGACGTTTCATCACTCGTCGACGTAAAGTTTCATATGGAATTCTATCAACAAAATAATTGACTTCACAGGCATAAAATCGCTTGTAAAATTGTTCAATACAATTATCAATAAAATTTTCTGAGAAACCATATAAAAGATAGACAAGTTTGAGATAACGTCGTTCGTAATCAAAACTCTGTTCTTTGGAACAACATCGTACAACATACATTAACATAGATTGTAATAATCGAGATGGTAAACATGATGATCTTTCCGCTTGAAATTGATTCGGTAATTGGTATTGATCCATGACGGCATCATGATAAATTCGTGTATGAAGATGACCTTTATTATGAGATAATTCCACATCAAGAAAATGAAATGATGTTCCAATGAATGGTTTTATTTGAATAGATTGATAGTGTCGATCGACAACAATGGGTTTTCCAAATAAGAAATGAAGTTGATCTTCTGATCTATTCCATGTAAGAAATAGATTATCTTGGAATCTATCGAAATGTCATGAATATAATTATCGAATAAGGCAACAAAAGAAAGCTTTTAATTTTAATCATTACCTTCCGAATAGTTCTTGTTGCTTTTGAGCTATCAGCACAGACATCAATGCTGGTTGTGAATAACATAGATAAATACAAGCTAATGGAATGGTCAATGGACAACCAGAAGCATTACCCCTGGTTTGTTCAAACAGACAACTTCCATAGAGTACCATTTGATTTTCTAATACAAGACGAACTAATTGAAGAATAGTTTCAATAGCTAATTCTTCTTCCATTGACACTTGAGTACCATAAATCAATAGAAAATGTTCCAATGCCTTGATCATAATCTCATGTGAAAAATTCATACAAATTTCATGAATGTTGAATGTGACAAATAGAGTTGTCGATTGTAGATAATTATTTCTTGCATATGATTCGAAATTTTCAATAACATCAACACCATTGCGAAATGTTCTACAACCTGTTAGTTGATGAAAGAGGGACCAAAGTAAATTACACAGATAACGTGAAATACGCATTGTTGGCCCCTTATTACAAACTACTACAGGTCGAATTGTGTAGATATTACCCTGGTTAAATTTAAAGAATGTACAGTATATAGTAGTATATAAGAATAACAAAAGAGCAAAATAAAAACAAAAAAAAATAAAAAATAACAATGAAAACATACCTTTACTGGAGTATTTAAGGCAAAAACTAAATAACTTAATTCCACTTCTGAACGACTTATTCGCATCTGATCATATTGTCGTTGAGTAATACAATTGGAACAAAATAAATCATCCAATTTCGTTTGGACTTGTTTGACAATATTGAATAAAAATTGATCATGTTCAATTAGTTCAATTGTATCCATGTTTTGTATGAATTTGTAAATACCCGTTAGTTCGATATAATCAGAACATAGTAATTTGAAATCATTTGATGGAAATATATGTAAGGAATAACCTTTGTAGGATGTTCGTAAAACATAATTTTCTTTCATAAAATGATCTCGTATATGTGAAATTCCTTGTTTCAAGTCTTCATTTATCTGATCGGTTGAGTCCATATGATCAATCAATTCTGAAAAGCCATTCAAATCAACATATTGAAGTAATTGACATGTTTCTTGATCAAAAGAGAATTCATTTTTATTATCATTGAAAGCATGTTCATTTAAGTCATGATTCCATCGTTCAGACATTTCATATTCCTATTCAATTGGTTTAATTCAAAAAAGTTCAAAAATTATCTAGAACATAACAAAAAAAAACATTAGAACGTCAAAGAGATCAAAACTTCAATCAAGTTAATCATTGTATCCAGCACATCTATTGGAACTTATCAATAAGTCCCTAAGTATATTGAAATAGATTCTATATGATTTTGTTAGTTCATATACAAGGTAGATAACAAAGATTTATGTGGTAGTGTAATTGAGAGTGTAGATATTTTCATGTTAGTGTTGATGGGAGTATGCTGTAATATCGTCATAATTAATAAATCTACAAAAAATAATAAATAAAGAGTGAGTGTTTGTGGAAAACTGTCCGATGACAGTTTCGAAAGTCCAATGTATTTTCTAGAACTATTCCGAGTTGCAGCTCTGGACAGACGGCCAGCCTGATACAGAATTCTTCTCGCTTAATCATTTACGCTCCTCATACATACTAACTAACTACATGCGAGTCATAGGAGTTGTTTGTGTATGGCATATGTAATCAGTGTGCTATCGACTTGGTGACTTGAGACAAATAGCCATTACCAACTTGTCTAAGAATAGGGTGTGTTTGTGAAAGGATAAAAAATGTTTCAAAGAAAGTCATACGACATGTGTCGATTCTTTCCCAAAGGATCATCAGCAGGTATGGTTTAGAAACATTATAACTACATTAAAATTGGTAATGAATATATATGGAAGAATTTTTTTGAAAAGTCCCAACAATAAACATTGAAACATATTAGTTTCATATATATACGGGGTGGCCCAAAAGTAAGGAAAAATAATGAGTATTCGATAATAACTAATGAAAAAATGTTAATGATATTTTTCATACTTTTTATTGATGTAGAAAGCTGAAACTTTTATTGCATATATATTTAATGAAGACCTTTTATTTCTGAAAGTTTTAGGTCTCTACATCAATGAAAAGTATAAAAAAAATATTATTAACAGTTTTTCATCAGTTATTATTCGATACCTATTATTTTTCCCTTCCTTTTGGGCCACCCGGTATATATATATATATAAATATATACACATACGTAGTTCGAATTCACAATTTTGTTAATAACATTCGGACGTGAAAGATTTGGTCTTATATAGGTTGTACAGATCTCATGGTTCTGTTATGCATTGCTTGAGCACGTATTTCTAGTAGTGAGAAGTATGAATTGTGAACGTCGTAGAGTATAGTTTTCTGTTGTTATTGAAGAAAATTGTCTGAAATGGAAGTTAGATTCAATGGAGTGAATGGCGAGATATTTTTCGTGATAGCATTGATTGTTTGGGCTTTTAGGTTGTTGTTTTCATTGTGAAATAGATTGTTCCTTGGTTGATTGTTTTTTTCATTGAAGTTTAGTACAATTTTATCTACAATAAATTCTCGACTAAGTGTTTTTCCTACTTCTTTAGTCTTGTCTGCACTCATATTGGTCACTAATATCTCTATCTAGAATAAACCAAACCAAACTAAAAAGAAGAACAAGTTAGAATAAAATGAGAGTACAATAGAAAGTATGGTAGTGAGATATATAATCAAACAAAGAGAAACGAGAAAAAAAAACAAAGAATAATCATGTCTGTTTGATTTTTTTTGACACTAGTTCATTATAGAAAGAAGATACTTGAACATATAAAAACAAAATAAATATGTTTGTCATCCAATGAAATATTTCTAGTCATATACTGCAATATAAATACATATGATGATCATTGTGTAAATTATTCTTGTATATATACTCCATATCATCATTAATTAATATTAGGATTAACATCAACATTCTCATTAATAAAATTGTATTGATTCAGATTAAATAATGTTTGTTTTAAAAAATCATCATTGAATTGAAAACATTGTTTTAATGTTCTTTGTCGACTTTCAATGATATTCATCAATAAATGAGTCTTCCATTGAGAATTGTCTGTGGATGATAAATTTTGTTGTTGTTGACTAAGATCAAGAAAAATTTTCTTGTCCTTTTCTATGTTATCCGTAATAGTATGGATCGTACTTATTACACTGAGAGTTTGCGATTCTGCTGAAGTTGAAGAAAATGGAAGTTTCATTAACGATAGTGATAAACTGGTACTGTGAATGATGTCTTTGTAATTCAGTAGTACTATTAAACGACAGAGATGCTTTTCATCATGATTTAACGTGTCTGATTTCGAAAAAGAAAATAAAAAACAAAAAACCTTACCATTCTTTGTTTCTTCTTCTCGAATAGTTGCCCTCCATATACTTCTAGCTAAACTTATCTAAATACAAAAGACAATAAGATTCACAGTAGTCTTCTATGAAGACTACTATTAAAACCCTTCTTACTTGTATTGAATTTGGTTTTAAATCAAAAAATTCTTTTACTAAACGAACATCATTTGCCTTTAATAATAATAATCTTTTTTTCTGTTCAACATCATCATGTAATTCTCGATAATCTTGTCGTACGAATGTAATAATATAAGCTTTTAGTAAAGTCATGTCCATAACAGATGATCCTGAGATAGCTTCTTGATTTTGAATACAGTTGATGAGTTTTGTGATGGCCTTACTCAAACTTTGTTCAGTAATTCTTAATTGATATCTGATGTACTTTTGAGTTTCAGAAAAATTTTCATCGATATTATCTTCTTTCATTCTCATTTTGCGCAATTGTGATAACCAAAGATATTCTGATTGTGTCCTATCAATATAACTTTTATAGGAATCTAATTCCATTTTTAAACAATAGACATGAGCAATAATACAAGTATATTTTCGTATAAATTCTAATAATGTCATATCGATTTCTAACCATTGCTTGACAAACGTTTGACGACGTTGATCTTGACTAGTAACCTTGAAGAGTCGTTCTTTAAATTCAACATTGGACATATTACAGTAGCCACATTTGAATGTTGTTTCGAAATCGGCATGTAGCATAGTTGTTGTCGTTTGATTACTATCATTGTTTCGTTGTTCCTAATCAAAAAAAAAATTTATAAAGATAGCAAAATAATAAAATCTTATCTGTTTATCAAGTAATGATGATAATACTTTTTCTTTGTGTTTTTCTTTATTTTGCTGTTCTACCGATTTCATCTTATCGACGCTCAATGAATTATTTATTTCGATAGAAAGATGAGATTAACTATTGGATTACTCGAATTGCCATTCATAATTAAAATATGTCATCTGAAAAAAAACAAAAAAAGAAGAAACAAGAAAAAAACAAAAACCACAGTTTACTTTCATAACAATGAATCTTCCATATATATATGAGAAAAACGCAAGGGGAAAACAGCTGACTCCATGACTCCACTTGACTCCACTCTGACTCCACTCTGACTCCACTTGACTCCACTCTGACTCCCCATGACTCTATATGACTTCACTCTTATATGAAGCCTTGAGTATTATTCTCTTGACTATAGTCAAGGTCTTAATCCCAAAATTGACTGTGTGTTTGCGTGTTTATCCGCAGGACAGTAGTTCGGCTCTATGCAGTGGTATATAATGGGGATACCCTTAGTTTGTCAAGACTTATATGACGAGGGTACCTTTTGGTCCTAAAGTTCTATATAATGGGGTATCTTAAGTCCTCGAGTCCTGTCTTTTGAGGGTACGTTTAGATGCTCAAGTCCTATATTATGAAGGTACGTTTCGGTGCTTAGGTCCTATATAATGGGGATACCCTTAGATCCACAAGGTCTATTATACAGAGGTATCGAAAAGTCCCCAAAGGCTATTATACAGAAGTACAGATAGGTCCTCGAAGTCTATACTATAGCGTTACCCACAAAGTATCTAGCGGTATTATATAGGGGTACCCATAGGTTCCGCAGGTCTATACGAGATGGACAACCAAAGGTCTTTACGGCCTCTCTCGTAAAGATAGCCATAGCTCCTCATAGCATATAGCAAGCGGGATCCCAGTACCAATAATATTTGCCTTGAGGATCTATGTGTGCCGCTTATTATACGGTTTGAGCATGGTTCCCGATTTAGGGACTGGGAAGGCTTGCACGTAACGAACTTCAGACTTTCTGCCAAAAACATTGATAATACTTTCTGGGAAATCGATTACTACACTAAAGTACAAAAGACGTCAATTTGCTCTAATCCGACCAAAGGAGACATGCTCTCTGCCAAATTCTTGCCGAACGTCCAGGTTATTTAGACCAAATATCTCGCAGAAAATGCAGTCCCCTCCTCTGTATTTCTCGCACAAACCGAATCGTATTTGTGTCGCATTTTCTCCTAAACTTCGCGATCCCTGCAGGAAATGGGGCACACATAGCATCGATTTTCCGCAAGATATGGAACAGAAACAATACTGACTTTGTGCGCTGAAGATGACGGAGTTTCTGCAAAATTTGCATCCCTACCAACTCCACTCTCGAAATCAATCGTGAAGTCTGCTCTTCAGCACCTATCGGCAGCTCTATATAATCCTTAGAGTTGTCAAAAAGTTTTGGCAACGTTATTCGCAATTTTATAAACCAATTAACGTCGAGGTATTCTTTGTAGGAATAAATAATGGAATGCCTTTTGAATAATGATTTATATACAAGTACCGTGAATCAAGACGATCGATTGGGTCCCTAGACTGTAGATTCGAACTACTACCCTGTGGACAAATACGCAAGCACACAGTCCAGAGTCACTTTCGGAATTAAGACCTTGACTACAGCCAAGAGAATAGCGTTTGAGGGCCTAAAGGTATTCTCATAATATAGGACTTGAGGACCTAAGGGTATCACCATTATATAGCACTTGAGGACCTAAAGGTACCCCCGAAATATAGGAGTTGAGGACTATGGATACCCTAAACAACCGATGACGCAATGAACATAAATTAATTAAATATATACTCAGTCGGACTGGTACCCATTTAACTAGTACTGGTGCATACCTATTCTGAAGGTAGACAAGAATTTTTGCGAGACTCTCTATGACTCCACTTGACACCACTCTGTCTCCACTGACTCCACTTATCTCCAAGGGACTGGAGTCAGCAGTTTCCCCCTTGGAAAAACAAAACAGAACAACAAAAACCATATTAACTTTCAATGAAATGAAAAAGAAAAAGCAAGAGCAAGAAATTCTGATGATTATAGTTTTTTTTTGATCTACCATGCCGTTGTCGTAATTGATGTTACCATAGTGCTCGTCGCTATTGTCGTCACTAGTGTCACTGATAGTATTTTTCGTGATATTGTACACTCTAAAAAAAACC